CTCTTAAGCCAACTTTTAACCAACTGAGCCACTCGGCCGGCTCAGTAAGCTTTCTATTTCTAATCATTTCACTGGTTTTAGAATGTTATCTTTAAGGAAATGCTTATTAATTAATTTGCTTTTAAATTCAAGATATGGGCCCATGATGTGGAAGCCTAGATATTTTACGGAGATATTGAGGAAAGCAATGCCTGGGAGTAATTAATGTCATGTCAAATTTAGTATTTACATTAAATTTTAATAAGTGAAAATCTAAATATTTAATTCTGCATTTGGGGAAGACTTCTCAGAAGTCTTCTCAGTCTTCTCATTTTATCCAGAAGGGTAAGTCATACTACCTGTTCCTTCAAAACACTCCTCAGGCCCAATCTTCTTGAAGGGCAATGAGTCCATGTGGGAGACTGCATGAGAATTCAATGATTCTCCACTTTGTATTCTCATTATGTCGTAGCCTCATAAAGTGTGATTACTTTATCTTAGAGATCCCTTGATAAATCACTGACTCCTTGAATTGTAAAGCTGGAAGGAATCAGAGGAGGTCATTGAGGCAAGTTGAGCCTGACCCCTTCTGGGGAAGCAGAATAGGAGAGTGGTTGGGAGCATGGCATCTGAGACCAGAACACCTGGCTTCAAATTGTGGCCCTCTCATTTACTAGCTGTGTGACCTCAGGCAAATTACTTATCTTCTCTAAGCCTCAGCTTCATCATCTTAGAAGAAAATGTATAAAATTGTCCATTAGGCATGCCCTAGAGAGGGTTTCTCAAGTGCTTGGCAATCAGTGAATGTTTGTGGTTATTCTCTCTTCCATTTTGTAAGCCACTAGACCAATGGTTTAGACATTTTTCTTTTTGTTTTTAGCTTTGGAATCCATTCTTCTAGAAAAGCTTATATAAAAGTGAGATATATATATATATATATATATATATATATATATATATATATATATATATATATATGACAGATAAGTAGGAGTGATTCTGGTTGAAAGGAGGATGGCTGGCCAACAGCCCAATCCCTCAGTCTCTATTATCCCCACCTGCAGCCCTTGAAGAGAACATCAAGGATTACTTCAACCAGAACTTGGTGGGTGGGAGGGGGTGGAGGTGGGAATCAACTCTATTTTAAACTGTCTAGTTTTGTGTTTGTTTTTTTTTAAGCAGATAGAAAGGTAGAGTCCAGAGAGTTAAAGTAACTTGACTAAGTTCACACAGATAATTAGTGTAAGCCAGGACCAGAGTCAGTTGAGAACATTTTGTTTTTCAGAAAGAAAAAAGTATGCGTATTCTTATATCCAAGAAACTCACGCGAGAGGGGAGACTTTCTTTGCCTAAGAAATGGTGACAAAACCAACAATTGAGTAATTGATAAGTGAATTATGGTATATCCTTATGATAGACTTCTATGCAGACATTAAGAACACTATACAAACAAATCGTTTAGTAACTTGAAACATGTTAAAAATGTTAAATGTAAGGTTAAGTAGTCTTTTTTTAAAAGGCAAGATACCAACTCTATGTACAGACTAATCTTAATTCTATTAAAAATATTTAACTATACATATAAAAAGACTAGACTTATACGAAAATGTTAAAAGGGATATTATCTGAGTGGCTTTTCATTTTTATATTTTCAAAATATTCTGTAGTGAATATACTTATATAATCAGAGGAAAAGTTTATGGGGGAAGGATGAAAGGAATAAAATATCCAAAGAGGTAAATAATAGATAAATACTTTTTATAATCTAGCTTTTTTGAGATATGTAAACAAAGTTATTGTAAAATAAAAAATACACAATTTAAGTTTAGGGAAATCATTTACATATTTAAAGTAGGAGAGTATATTAAATATTTAAATTCGTTCTAATGTTCATCAGGCCCTAAGATGTCTAGTGCCAAGCACTGTGCATACATACTAGGTACTTGAAAAACTTGTTAACCTCCCACCTCTAGACTTTCTCAGTTATATAATTTTCTCATCCCTCATACAGAACCATGAAAAATCATTGATAGTGTTTTTAGGATTGTTTAAAAATAGTTTCATTAAAAAAAAATGTTACATACCAGAAAGATGTGGGCTTTTTATAGTTTTGTAATAAATTGTATGTTCACTTTTTAAAACTAGGTCAATAACTTTATCATACTGCTTTATTCTTGCAGCCCTGCCAAGCCCAAACATGTGGAGCTAAATCTTAAAACCCCCAAGAATCTTGACAGTTTGGGAGATGAGCATAATCCACTTAGCCATCCAGTTCATAAAGGAAACACGGCTACCAAAATCTCCTTATTTGAGAACAAACGGGCAAACAGTAGCCCAAGACACACTGACATTCGAAACACAAGGAACACCCCTGCCTCTAATAAAACATTTGTCGGGAAGGCGAAGCTGAATTTCGGCAAAAAAGCCAAAGACATGGAGCAACCTGAAAAGAAAGTAATGCCAAATGGTCACCGGAATGGTGTGGTGGTGCAGGACACCTCTGCAGAAACCAAAGTTATTCTTACTGAAGAGGACACTCTGCCAGCGACCAGGAGTCCCGGTGTGAGAGAAACAGAACACAAGCCTACCGAGGATCAGGCTCTTGGTTCTCAGCTTAACCAAGATGCGAAGGCAGATGTGCAACCAGATGCTGGCTGCCCGTCTGAACCAGTGGTTACTGCTCTGATTCCTGTCGAGGACCACAAGCTCTTAGGAGAGGGCGACTCAAAGGCTGCTGACAGCAAAAGACTTGTATTTGAAAATATGACTGATACAGCACAAGACATCCCCACCATTCTTACTGCCAAAGATGCACCTCCAACAACCATACCAAAGCCACCGGATACAGTTTCTGACTCACAGCCCCTGGTTGAGTCATCTACTCGGCCTCCTCTTTCACTGCCTGTCCCCATTCCCGTGGATGTTTCCAAAGATGCTGACGATCCCTTAAGCAGTTTTCCGTGCACTGATCCAGAAGTGTCAGAAAACCATAATGGATGTATTTCGCCTGTGTCTCATGAGAATAATGAGAGCATGCCCCTCTCCAGACTTGCAGCAGGAGGAGAAGGAGGAGAATCAAGCCCTTTGTCCACAGAGCACAGCCCAGAAGCTGATGTAACTGAGTGTCCATCCAAGGTCCTTGTCCAGGTCAGGTCTTTCGTGCTCCCCATGGAAAGCACCCAGGATGTAAGCTCCCAGCTTCTCTCAGAGAGCTCTGAAGTTAGAGAAGTGCAGTTGCCAAGTTGTCACAATAATGAACTTGAAGTGGTTTCCGTTGCAAGTTGTGCTCCCCAGAAAGAGGAAGTACTGTTTAATAAGAGCACATCACCCAAACACATTCATTGCAAAGAAGAACATGTAGCAAAATCTGGCCCCCAAGTCATGCTGCTGGAATCAGAGGAAACTCTGCCTACCCAGATCCAATGTCAGGGCAACGGAACCCCCCTGGCAGTTGAATCCAGCCCCGCCCACTCCCCTGGTAGCAGAAATCAGAAATCAGAGATCTCGCCTCCCAGGCCAGATCACAATGTTGTGAATGGCCAGGACAGCCCTGCCAGTCTTTTGAACATTTCTGCTGGTAGTGATGATAGTGTATTTGATTCTTCTTCCGATATGGAAAAATTCACTGAAATTATAAAAAAGATGGATAGCACAGTTTGTGTACCTCAGAAGAAAAAGAAGGCCAGGGTGCCAAACTCTCCTGCCCCTCACTTTGTCATGCCTCCGATTCACGAGGACAATTTAGAGAAGGTGTTTGATCCCAACGTGTTTACCTTTGGTTTAGGGAAGAAAAAGGAAAGCCAGGCAGAAATGTCACCGGCTTTACATTTGATGCAGAACTTTGACACCAAATCCAAACTGAGGCCCAAACGTATGTCCACCGAACAGAGTATCCTCTTCAAGTCCTTACACACTCACACGAATGGGAAAGATGAACCTCTGGCGACTCCAGAAATAAATGACAAAGAGAACAGGGATGTCACAAATGGTGGCGTTAAGAGATCTAGGCTAGAAAAAAGCGCGCTTTTCTCAAGCATGTTAGCTTCTTTACCGCAAGACAAAATCTTTTCTCCCTCAGTAACGTCAGTCAATACTATGACCACAACTTTCGGCTCTTCTCACAACACTTCTCTTTCTCGGTCTTCCGTGTTGCAGCCCGTGGTTGAGGGTGCCCCACCCTGCACTTCTGACAAAGATCAGCCCAATCTTCCTCCCAGCCACTTCTTAAAGGTCTTCAACTTCGAGTCGTCAAATACATCTCCATCAGGCTTGAGAAGTCCAAGCTACATGGAAAAGTACCTTCAAAAAGGGGAAACCAAAAAAGATCTGGATTCATCAAGCAACCTACACTTGCCAGAAGCTAAATTTTCTGAATTTTCAAAACTAAAGGATGGTGATGACATAGAAAAGGCTAATCATGTTGAAAGTGTTCTTAAATCAAACTTGCCGAAATGTGGAAACAGTGACACAGACTTCGTGGGTCTTTTCAAATCCAGCCGGTTTGACCCAAACATGTTTCCTGGAATGTCATTATCAGATACAACAGTAAGTAGCAACGTATCATTTATTTGGGGTATTTATAAAGTGACAGAGGGACGATGAGCAATTCATGTTATTCTTTTAGAAATGTTTATGCTTGTGTGCTATTGTTTTCTATTCATTCATTCATCAAATATTTGAAAACCTATGTACAAGGGACCACTAGGGTCTAAGAAAAAGATACTCAGATTCTGTTCTCAAAGTATTCATAGTCTAGCAGGGAAAATAAGCTACCAACGTTTTAAGGCTCTTATGAATTTATATGTTGTATTGTGAAAGGTATAGATAAAGTACCTTGAGGGTTCAAAGACAGGCAAGATGCTTTTTCTTAACTAGTTTTGCAGAAAAACGCTCAGAATTTTGAAGATGTGTGAAGCAGCTTCCTTTATTGGGAAAAGCCTCTGCCAAGGAATCTTATTCCTAATCCCTTCTCTTGCCCTGCAAGGTTCACTCTTTTTCCCCATAAGTAGCAGTAAATGTATATCCTGTTCAGAAAGTATTTTCTTCTTATTTGGAATCAGTTTTTATCAGGGAAGTATTTTCTTCTTGCAAAGTAAAGAATTTCAGTCTACATTGGCTCTTTCCTTTAATATTTTAGAGAGAGCAGCAAAATATGTTTTTGAGCAGCAATTTTGATTGCTCCATCTTCTTCTGTCTGACTGCTGAAGTTGTTTTCTTTATGGAGTTTTTGATGTGAATTTGTGCCTTTCTGTTACCAACCTTGATTCTCAAGTTGAGGGAGGAGAGTGAAAGAGGAAAACAGGATATAAGGTTTATAGGTCTGCTCTGTTAGCCCAGAAACATGAGCCCAGAAAACCTCTATATTCCTGTTGCTCACTCTGTGAACCAGGCCATCTGTCAACTGTAGACCATCATCCCAAACAGTTTATCCAGGCAGAAAATACCTTACACTCCTCCTCATTTGTATAAGGTGCTGAGACATGTTTCAATTTGTTGTATTGGCTTTTGCTACAAGCCTATCAGAGAATGTAATTCTGGAAGCTCTTTCAAAATGTATAGTTGGGTTTCCAGCAGAGGCTCAGATCCCTCTTTTAAAAATTTTTTAAACTTTTGATTTCAGGATGCTATTATATTTAAAAATTATTGAGGACCCCAAAGAGCTTTTGTTCATCTGGGTTATGCCTATCAGAATTTATTGTTAGAAATTAACAGTGAGAAAAATTTAAAACACAAGAATACTCAAGTGCCCATTCCATTATCCATCATAGTAATGATATCAGGACCCTCTGGAAAATTCCACTGTACACTGTGAGATAAAGAGAGTTAAAAAGGTAAATATCCTTTTCTTATGAAAATAGTTTTGACCTCATGGACTCCCTGAAAAGATCTTGGGAACCCTCCAAGGGTCCCTGGACCACACTTTGGGAACCACTGCTGCAGATAATACTGACTCAGCCTATATCTCTCATAAATCTTAAAGATTTTTTTAGTATTTCTCTCAAGCACAAAATTTCCACTGTTCTACTTCCCATTCATTACAGCCTTACACTCTCTTTTTAATTATTCTTGGCTCACTTCTCTTATTTGACAGCAGTCTGGTGAGTCTGACAACAGAATATACAGTTTTCCTGTGGAATCCCTTGAAAAACCAACCCAATTGGAATAAAAAGGACAAAGGGCTTTATCCTTCCTCTAAGTCTTTTTAGGATTAAAATTGTTATGTTTTTCTTTAGGTTTTGGGCTTTGTTATATAACTATTCTATCTTCCATGTCTTACCTAAATTTTGTGTTAAATTTCAGGCTTTTTCTTCAGCCTATCTACTGCTAATGTGTGTATATATATGTAAATGCCATTTTGACTTCTAATAATACTCTACTGAGGCCTTCCTATGGTCTTTTTGGGCATATTCCATTTTGGCATGATGCATGAGTGAGCAGATCAAAGGCTGTCCTTACAATTGGCTTCCTGGTCAGCATTGAAAGTAGTCCATGTTTTATAATATTTCTACATGTATAATTACTACTTTTATTATCTTATGCATTTCCGGTTTTACTGGTCTTGTCACATGGTTTTGAAAATGATTAGTTTCGTGGCCATATAAAGACGTATTTTGTCCGTAAAAAGGGAGTGATTAAGTACCATGTGCAATGTACATCGTGAAATACATTATGATTTCTTTTTTTTTATTTGAGATGATACGGAGATGGTTTGAATTATAATCTCTTAGCTGAGTTCTTATTCCCTAAACTCATGTAAAACATAGGTCTGACCCTTGAGTTCTAAATTTTCTAGATTGGTGAAAATAGCCTAGGCATTTAAATAAGGAGAAATTGAAATGGCAAAATCAGTTAGGGATTTGGGGTGGCGGGGGGGGGGCGGCGGTGGGAAGCTCTTAATTTAATTGTATAGATTCAAAGAGAGCTTTAGTACATCTTTGGCATAGATCAAGGTAGACTTGTTTTAAAATTGATAAATTGTGAGGTGAATATGAGTTACTTAAAGGATCATGGGGGGAGAAAAGAGGACTTTTTTTGCAACATTTAACTATTTGTTGTATTTTGTTCATGCGATTACAGATGCTTAGAGGAAGTATCCAAAATAAAATCAATCCTCGACCTGGAAAGGTAAGATTATTTTCTATTTAGACTATTTTCTAGTGTGGATTTTATTTTGGTCTGATGAAGTGCAGTAACATGTGCCACCACTCTCCTTGTCTCGTAGGTAGTGATCTATAGTGAACCAGATGTCTCCGAGGAGTGTATTGAAGTCTTCAATGACATTGAGGATTGCAGCTCTTGGAGCCTGTCCCCTGTGATACTCGTGAAAGTTGTTCGGGGATGGTAAGAATGGCACTTTGACTTCCTGACTTATAGGGTTTATGCTTTCCATTTTTAATGATCTTTTTGGTCCTCAGTCCTTACTTAGGATTATACTTTTAGCAATGTAAAGGGCAGAAAATAATAGTCACAGTGAGTATTAAAAGGAATTCATATAGAAGAAATATGACTTAATGTTTCTGATTATAGGGATGATATATGTTGATGCTAGAAAAATCAGAAAAGTATAGCAGTATGTTTCTCTTCCCATATATTCCCACATAACATTGGTTTGGGCTAATGAACATCAGAACCCATAATATACTTTTGGTTTGCAAGTTTTCAATGAGGTAGATAAGAATTGCATTTAGTTATGTTGGTAGAATTTTTTAAATTCTGTAAGAAAAGACATTTTTGCTAACTTTTTAATGACAGATCAGTGAAGGACAAACCTAAATTTTATTTTCCAACTTTTCTACAACAGATACTTTTGATTAAGAAACCAGTGAAAAAAATTATTTTACTAGCTTAATAGTCTCTAAAAAATACACAGGAAATTTAATTAAGAAAATAAGTTTTAAAAAAAATCACTTATGTGGCATAAATACTTATCTTTGTTACCTATTTATAAACTTATTTGAAATAAAGAGGATAGGGCTCTAGACAATTGTGGTTTAAAAAATTAGTA